GGGAAGTTTTCCTTCATTATTTGTTCAAATAAGTTTTCAATTTCTTGCTGCTGCTGTTCTCCTTTTGGCAACCCTATAATTCAGATATTGGAATGTTTCAGTTTGTCCCAGAGGTTTGTAACTCTCTTTTCACTTTTTTTGATTTCTTGTTTCTTCATTTTGTTCTGGTTGGATGTTTATTTTTCTCTTTTGTTCACAATCATTGCTTTGAGTCCTGGTTTCCTTCTTGTCACTGTTGGTTCCCTGAATATTTTTGCTGTATTTTATTTTGGGTATCTTTCATTTTTTTTTAAGTTTGACCAAGCTCAATCAGATCTGTGAGCATTTTGATTACCAGGGCTTTAAATTCTCCATCAGATAAGTTGGCTATCTCCTCATTGCTTAGTCCTCTTTCTGAAGTTTTGCTCTGTTCTTTCATTTGGGCCATGTTTCTTTGTCTTGGTGCACCTGATAAGTTATAAGGGGGCAGGGCCTTAGGTATTCACCTGGGCAAGGCAACCCTCCTTGCTGCACTGTGGCGCTGCCTGTGGGGGAGGGGCCACAGAGGGAAAAGTGCAGCCTGCCTGCTTGTCTTCTCTAGTCCCACTTTCCAAAGGACTCTCGAGAGACTGGAGTTTCTTCCACCATGCCCCCCCCCCCCCCCGTAGTCCACAGTCTGCTCTGACACTCAGTTTTGCCTTCAGCCAGCTCTGCCTGCCTGGTCCGCTGCCTCGCCGTGGTTTTTCTGAGTCAGCCTGGCCTGGCTCATGCGGTCCGCTACCTGTTTTGGTTGTTTTGCTTGTTTTTTTAACTTCTTCTTTGCTGGAGTTCCATGCAATTTGATTTGCTGGTGCTACTGGTTGTTTATTGATTTCAGATTGGTTGTTATCCTCCCTTTGGTTGTGCAAGGAAGCTAAGGGTTTCTACCTACACCTCCATCTTGGCCCAAACTCATTATTCCTTTACTTGCTAAAAATTCAGCTCCATTGGAGCACATGCCTTGATTATACCATCATTACCTCCATTTACTACAACCAACAACCATCTTCCTGGCCACGTCTCATGTACTCAAGAGGTATTTTAGCCCCCGACTTTCTCTTTACCTACATTCTTGTCACGATTCTTAGTAATTCCAGTAATGCACCTAGAGAAGTCACCTAATTTGTGGCATCTCTGGTCCTTGCCCTCATCTCCATGGTCCTCTTTCTAGCACATGGTACTGCTGTAACAGTCATGCAGTCCATGTTTTGCACTCTTCAAAGGCTATAAGGAACACCACACCCTGCAGACTGCCATGGTACTACAGAACAGACAGATGCTGTTTCTTCATGATGAGCTGCCAAACTAAACAGCTGTGGAAATAGCTAACCTTGGACTTCTTGTAGAATTATAAATTACCTTATTGATTGAACCATTTAAGGTTGGTTTTCTACTTAATTGCAAAGGCATTCTAAATGATGCAAAACATAGGTGAAACAGATGTATCACTCAGTATGAAGTAACACCCAAATTTGCATTAATACAAAACATCTTCCCTGGGAATGAAGGATTGGAAGTAGTGCATGAGTTCAAGTGAAACAATGTTGAATTTGGGATAGTGTGTTGACAATGGAAATGAAAGGGTACAGAATAAAATCTTTAGAGGTAAAATACACAAGACAACATGATTGGATTTCTGTATGAAAATCAGGGATGAGTAAAAGATGAATGTCAGGCTTCTAGCTTGAAGACCTGGGAGAAGGATGTTATTATTTAATGAGTTCAAGGTTGGATGCATTGAGTTTGAGGTGTCTGTGAAACACTTGAAAAGAACAGAATAGAAATCTGGGTTAGAGGTTTGACTTGGAGAGTCAGTATATAAACAGTAATTGAGGCCATTGGAATGGTTGAGCATCTAGGTGAAAAGTATGAGCTATAGTTGCCAAACCTCAGTGGGCATGGGAATCACTTGAAGAATATACTTAAAATATAGATTGTTGAATCCCATCCCATTTTCTGATTCAGGAAGTGTGATGGTTAGTTTTTTGTTAACTTAGTGAACAGAATCTGTCCCATGACTCTCTCCTACCTTCTGGTAGTTACCAGGAAGGAAACTACCTTGGCTTACAGTTGCATCACTCCAATCTCTGTATTTAACTTCACACAGGGTCCTCCCCTGTGTGTATTCCCATATCCATGTCTCCCCCTCTCATTCAGATTAACAGTCATTGGATTTAGACTCCACCCAGATCCAGTATGACCTTAACTTGATTACATCCATAAATACTATTTCCAAACATTACATTCACAAGTACCTAATGTTCAAATTTCAACATATCTTTTTGGAAGATAGTTTAACCCACAACACATGGTTTTGGAGAGTGGAAGAGGGTAGACTAAAGAACCAGAGTAAGATTGGCAATGTTGAGAACCCAGAGGGCTTGTGAATCCAGAGTATCACCAATCTGCCTGGATATGTGAATTTGGAAGGGGAGCTGGACTTCAAGTGCTAAGGATAATAAACACCTACAGTAAGCTGGGAGGCTTGGGGATTGTAGTCACTGAGTTGGTATTTGAATTAGTTATTATAGAGGAGAGATGGCTAGACCAGAATACTGAGACAGAACAAGTGAATGAGATGAAGTGGAGAAGGTGGAACTGATTATGAAGACACAGAACTAAGTGGCCAAACCTTTCAGGGATTCTTCATCTGGACACTAAAATTACCTGGGGAACTTCCTAGGGTGACCAATGGTAGACAGATTAAGTCAATGAATGAGTGTGGCTGAGAACAGTAACAAAAAGAATAGTGATTGTGGGTGTCCACCTCAAAAATGCAGGGTTTTTTCTTTTTTCCATAAAGGAATGAAGGAGCGATGATATGGAAATAGCATAGAAAGCAAAGAGAAACTAAACCCAACAACTGAATCTGAGTATCATAGGAGGGCACCAGAGTATACAGTGAATATGTATGAATTAAAATCCTTGTCACTCTTTTTATGTGTAGAATTACCAAAAGAAACATTAGATCTAGGTCAGGACATAGATCATCTTTAATGCCAGAGAATCCTCCAAATAGTAGTTACCTCAGGGAATGCAAGGCCATGCCAGGTTCACTTCTGGTGCAAGGGGACAGAGTACATCCAAAGAAACAGACTCACATGACACACACATGGCTGCCACGGCCACTCCTATGGTTTAGGAGCAGAGCTCAGACAAGTGAGGAGAGTCATAAGCTGAGCAGACTGATGTTGACTTTAATGTATTTATTCAAAAGCTCCCCAAGGAGACTTTGGAAGATATAATACCAGTTTTATATGATAAAATATTCCAACTTTATTCAGCAGAATTCATTTTAATATTTTTAAATTATGGTAGAGAATGGTAGAAAAGATCAAGTTTCTAGATCTGAAAAAGCTTTGCTCTGTTGATTGTCACACTAAGATAGAAATTGGAAAGATCAAGGACGAAAGCAACATGATCAAAGAAAAAGGGAAGAAAAAGTAGTGGAGTAGTTGGAGAGCAGCTCAACAAGCATTTAATTATCTCAGTAAAAGAAAATCTTAAAAGAACCTTTGCACCTCAATGTTCATAGCAGCACAATTTACAATAGCAAGTGCTGGAAGCAACCTATGTGCCCATCAGCAAATGAATGGATCAGAAAACTATGGTACATTTACACAATGGAATTCTATGCAGCAGAAAGAAAGAAGGAGCTCCTACCCTTTGTGACAGCATGGATGGAGCTGGAAAGCATCATGCTAAGTAAAATAAGCCAAGCAGTGAAAGACAAATACCATATGATCTCACCTCTAACAGGAACCTTAACAACAAAACAAAAAATACAAGCAAAATATGGCCAAAGACACTGAAACAGAGAACAGGCTGACAATGACCAGAGGGGAGAGAAGAGGGAATTTCAGGGGAGAATGGGAAGGGTTTACAGGAACAAATTTAAAGGACACATGGACAAAAACTAGGGTGGGTGTGGAAATGGAAGGGAGGTGGGGAGGAATGGGTGGGTGGGCTGGGATGGGAGTAAAGGACAGAAAACTGTACTTGAACAACTATTAAAATAAAATGTAAATATATATTATATATATATATAAAGAAAATCTTAAAGCAGGACTTTATACTTGATACAAAAGGAAATGGGAAACTAATTTCAGGTAGGACACATTTGTATTATCTTTAAGCTGCTTTCTAGTTTTAAACTGCATTTTCTTATTATTGTTATTGTTGTAGTTAAGCAGGGCATATATATTTGATGGAATAGAGAGAACAATGAGGCTCAGAGACACCTACTGTCCTGCATCACCCAGCTGATAAAGTAAGACTGGACTGGACCTGTGATCTTTCCAATGCTCTGCTCCTCTTCCACTTCTTCATGGCCTGTTTATTCTCACAACACAATAAAAGCAGTACTTTGGGGAAATCTATTCTGGAAAGTGTCATACTGGAGGAAGAAGAAACTGAGACAGAAGACTGCTGAAATACACCTTGCAAATGCCACCATGCTAAGGACTACACGTGAGGCTGGAGAAGGTTGATCTAAAATATCAAAAGACAAGACAGAACTTGATCAACAACTTGGGTAGAATGAGGAAGGCAAAAAACTATGAAGCACAGGCAGGCCAGGTAACATTCAGCCTATTTTATAGATGAGGAAATCAAATCACAGGGTAAGTTAAATGACTTTCACAAGTAGTAAGTGGCAAAGCTACAACATCTAACTATACCTACTAGCTTTCACTACAACTTCTCCTTAGAGCTCTTACATTAAGATCTTGGATCAAGACTGATATGTCATTTTTCATGCATTTAGTTAATTAACAAGGCAGTCTCCATTCTTACAAAAAGTAGGCATAAGATGACTTAGCTCAGGGGTTGTTTTGAGGCATAAATAAAATAATGCATGAAAAGCACACAGCACTATGCGTAACACAAATGTTAGGCCCCCCACCGCCATTCATCATGATAAGATTCTCTTCCAGGCTCAACCCTCATAGCCCATAGCATCACTTGAATAAGCTTTCAGACAGTTAGTGTAGGCAAATTTTATTTCTAGGGTAGAAGCATTTATTTCAGTTATAGAAAAATAACCCTATTTCAAAGTCAAGGTAACTAAACATAAGTATATTTTTTCCTTGTATACCCATACTCCAATATCACATATGATTTCAAAACATTCTTAAATTAACAAGGAACAAATGCAGAATCAAGGTAGTATCTGTCAACAGAAGAGATGTATTAAAGCTACATATGTATCAGCCCTGGAAATCAGAAAGTACAAAGTGATCTCGTGCAGTGATTCTCCACTTTAGTGTGCATTAGAATCACCTGTATTGTGGAAAAGCACCTTCAGGGCATTGAAGGCAAAATCACCAGGTTAAGCAAGTCCTTGGTCTCAGAATAAATACCAGTGGGACTGAAGATAAAAACTCTGTTCCTCAGGAAGGGGTAATGACAAAATACACAATACATAAGATCAGCCACTTATTCACTGTGCAGCTTCTCTGAGCCTCAAATTAAGGAATAAGAGTAGGTGCTATTCTCAAGAATTGTTCTACAGATTAGGTCAGACAGTGCACAATAAGCGCTTCCCTAATTTATAACACACAACTACTATCATCATTATTTCATCATCATCATGATTCAGAGGACATTCTCCCCCCACCCCCACCCCCAAATAGCTGCTATTATTTATCTTAAAAATCAAGTAACCACTCATTGAGTTCAAGCTCATGAACTACTGGTACCACTTTGTTATCATTTTCACTAGCTTCAACCCATTCACTCACCTGAAGATTTCAGTACTTGGTTAAAAAGACAACTTTTTTTTTTCATCTAAGCTATGAAAATGGATTCCAAGAAAAAAGGGAACTAAAGCTTAAAAAGTATGTGTTGCTTCTAAAGCATCATTACTTACATGAATGAACTGCTTTTCAAAGTGACTCATTTTGGACAATCTCTGATGTTCCCTGTGTTGTTTTCTGAATTGGGTTATACATAGAAACATGGACATAAAATACCTATAATCTTCATCACTTCCTAAATTCTATCTACTACACAGTAATGTTTCATAGTTACAGTTTTTTGGCCATTTAAGTAACTACACACATAAATATCTGAGATTTTTAATATTCTGAAACTATAAAACAAAGCTATAGAGGTACACAGTCAGGCTGGGGTAGGGCTTCTCACCCTCAGCAATACTGACATTTTCGGTTGGACAATTCTTTCTTGTGGGGGTTAACCTGTGTGCTGCCGGATGCAGGTTACCCACCTGGCCTTTACCCACCACATACCAGCTGCAACCCGCCCTGCTTCCCAGTGTTGAAAATGAAAACGCCTCTAAACATTGCCAGGTGTCTTCTGGGGGCAAAAATCATCCCCCAGCTGAGAACCACTGAGCTAGAATTTTACAGACATAATTGTAAACTCTGAGTACACAGATTATACACACTTATGTAATTTACTAATATAAGGAGTACAGCATAATAGTTCCTGCTGAACTGTTTAGGCTAGGGCACATATTTTTATATAATATACTACTTAAGTATATAGTTACCCACATATAACTATCTTTTCCTACTGAAAAAAAAACAACATTAAATAAGGGGGAAAAACAGCTAATCCTGTGACCACTTTTATGTTATCTGATTTGGAGAAAAACCTATGGTTTACAAACATTTGTTAATGGAGACCTACAGAAATCACTGCAAGTGTCCTTCCTTCTGAATTCGAAGTCTCTCTTTCTCTACTTGTAAGCGTTCCTTTTCAATCTGCAGCTTTTCCGATTCAAATTTCAAAAACTGTAGCCTATCTTTTTCCAGTTGCAAGCGTTCTCTCTCAAGTTTTAACTTCTCTGTTTCTATGTCCTGTGGCTGAAGTATGGACTTTTCTCCTTGACCAAGTTCATTTTCCAATGACGGTTTCTCTGAGTTGACTATCTGTAACCTCAACTTCTCTCTCTCAATCTGCAGCCGCTCCTTCTCCAACTGAAGCCGCTCGTGCTCCATGTCTAAATGCCGCAGCCTCTCTTTCTCAATCTGCAGCCGCTCCTTTTCTACCTGCAGTCTCTCAGCCTCGATATCCAGCCGTCGTTTTTCCAACTCTAGTTTTTGTTTCTCTATGTTTACAAGCAAATGGGGCTCATCGTAGGCAGACCTCGATGGTGCTGAGTTTAGAGTAAAAAACTCATCAATGTGGGGGAAATCAGGAAGTTCATTTTCCCGCCTGGAATCTGGTATGACTGATGACAATATTTCTTCCTCCTCCTCAATTTCAAACTAAAAAAAAGAATTTTCAGTATTATTTCTGTTTCATGGTTGTTAATTTGTTTAAATATTCCTTAAAATCTTTTTGTACTGAGGATATAAAACCATTTACTTTGAATTTTGAATATTTACAATGAATTAGCTGATGTCACTAATATATAATCAAGAGAAGTATATTTAATTAACAAGATTAATAATATAAAGAACAAGTGGAGTGGCTTTATATGCTAGTTCTAAGTTAGCTTGAATATCTGGGAACTTCTTAACTGCTCCTGTACTATAATTAACTTGCACATCAGAACTGAAGATATTAAATGAATAAAAGGGCTCATAGGTTAATACTTACTTCAGGACTCTGGGGATCTCTTTCTTCCTCTTCCACTTTGACCTCAGTCAAGGATCCACCTGCATCCCTAAAATCTGCCACATTTTGCCAATCAAAATTTGTATCATTTCGGAATCCAATCTTTTCATCTATCTCTTCAGTAAGAGAGTCATCTAAATCGGATGAGGGAAGGGGAAACCCAGAACCAACCAGCTTAATGTTCGCCTTCATTCTCTTTCTCTTCATAAGTGCTCGCCAGTCAAGATATCTTCTTTTCACTTCTGTCCCTGTCCTCTGCTCTCCCTCTCCCACAGCATTCACACACTGTGCAATCTCCTCCCAAGCCATCCGCTTCATGACATTAATTGTTGTATTGAGCTGCTTGGAAAAAATGACTTCTTTCCTTTTGGTAATTTCCTTCAAAAGAGTCTGAGTTTCTTGAACACTAAAATTGCTTTTCCTTTTCCTTTTCAACTGCTTCATTTTTCTAACTTAAATGCAGTTTTTACTGTAAGAGAAGATGTGATGAGAATTTGAGAAATGCTACAAAGTACAAAAACCAAAGACAATCCCTTGTTGGCACTTTGTTTTAAATCAGAGTTTTCTGTCCATTAATAGCAAAGGCAGCCTGGATAATTCCTAAAAAGAAAAAAGTACAAATAAATTAATCTGTAACATCTGCAATGTACCTCAACCCAATAAGCTATATATATATATATTTTATTTTTAATATTTATTTATTTATTTTTTAGCAGGAAGAGAAGGGAGGGAGAAAGAGGAGAGAAATATCAACATATGAAACATCAATCCGTTACCTCTTGTGTGTGCCCCAGCCAGGGACCGAACCCACAACCTATGCATGTGCCCTAATCAGGAATTGAACCAGAGACCTTTCACTTTGCAGCAAGATACCCAACCAATGAGCCATACCAGTCAGGGCAACATACCAAACTTTTTTTAAAAAACACCTCTAAATATGGCTCAAAACTGCCTGCATTTATTTCTGTCCCTGCCAGCACTGTCACTTTCTCACCTGAGCTGCTGTAATGATTCCTAACTAGTTGCCAATATTTGTTCTTAATATACTTCCCACTTCTCCAGCTCCTCCTACCCTACTCTCCCCAATCTATCCTCTCTATTCCCACTACTCTGGCCTTCCTTTAGTCACTCACTCTTGTCCAGCTCTTTCCCTCTTCAGGACATTCATACACACACTTTTCTAGACAGTTCCCTCTGCCTACAATTGTTGTTTTGTTTGTTTCCTTCTTGGCCTAATTCCTCCTCATGCTTCAGCTCCCAGATTTGACATCCCTTCCTCAGGAAAGCCTTTCCTGACACATCAAATCACTCTACAGAGTGTCGGGCACATGGCAGGCACAGCATAATTTTTCAATGAAGGAATGGGCCACTTTGCCAAAATCATCACTAGTTTGAGATATAAAAAAAAAAATTCAGATTCTGGAGAATAATTTTAGAGGAACACTGAAAGGCTGTGCTACAAAATCAATAAAATTAAGAAATAACTATAAGGCAATGTAATTTGGTCAAAGAAATGGCAACTACTTATATTTTATTATTTCCCAAATAATTAAAACTTATTTTTGGGTTAAGCCTACACATAAACTCTAAGCTTGGAATAAAATTTCCCAAAATAATAAAAGTACTGGGAAGAAACCACAGAATTAAAGGGGTAACATAAAAGTGGCAAGGATTTTCCCCAGCCACCCCACCTAATTAATCTGTTAAAGAAAAAGATCACCAATTAAAATAGAAAATATATATATAATTCTTAAACCTTGTGGAGACCAACACAAGTTTTCATGGTTTGCCATTGAAATTCTGTCCTTCAGTGCTCACCAAATCCAAACCACCCTAAAACTCCCCCTCCTTCAATCCAAACCACCTATAAACAAAAGATCCTAACACCAAACAAAACTAAGTTGAATACTATATTTGTTTCCAACCAATGTTTGTAATTATTTGCCTTTCTCTGAAGAACTCCTTAGTACTTTGTCATGTCCTACCTGGGGTGTCCAACCTTTTGGTGTCTCTGGGCCACACTAGAAGAAAAAGAGTTGTCTTGGGCCACACATTAAATACTATAAAAAACTAATATGCAAAAAAAATGTTTTAAGTAAATTCACAATTTTGTGTTGGGCAGCAGGCCACGGGTTGGACACCCCTGTCAGACCAAGCCATTTTAATAGCAAAGTAGAAGATCATGATATAGCCAAGCAAACTATACTTGGATACGCCATGAAATTAATTTCAAAATATTCATGTCAAAACTTTAATATAAATTCTGAATGGGAAAGATCCTCTTGTAAACCTTTTAGATGGATGCAAGACAGAATGCCTCTCCAATTTCCAGAACTCATACTGTCAAAGCATCAAAAAGGGTATATGCACCTGAAACTTGTTAGAAAGATAAAACTTTTCATGCCCATCCTAGACCAACTGACTCAGAAACTCTAGGGTAGGACCTAGTAACCTGTGCTTCAATAAGCCTTCCGGATGATTCTAATGCATACTAAAATTTGAGAACCACTGTGCTAGACCCACCCCAGGATAAGGCAAATGCTTAACACACCTGATCTTGTGGACAAGAGCAAGATCAAGCCTGAAACAAGTGCACCTGTGATTGGTAGAATCTACAGCATGACCTCAGTCCTTCATTACAATAGTGATGGACATGTGGTTTTCTGTGTTCTAGCCTTTGCATTATGGGAAGGAAGAGTATGAAGTTGGAGATGTTCAGTAAATCTTTTCCTTAGAAAAGAGATTTTAAAAGCAGGTAATGGAAGACAAGGGCTCAGGAAGTATAAGGGTTATGCACGTAAGCCATGTTTTTTACTTCAAATTCACTCACTGATCACTGTGACAGAGCCGACTTTTCCTCCCCTACAGAATGAGAGGGCCCTTCTAAGTCCTAAACAGAAAAGACTCAAACAATGATAAAAAAATATTTGTGCATTTTTAAAATTAAATTTAGTTAGCCTTACTCAATTGTTATATCTTGCTTCAGTAGAAGATACTATTTGAATTGTCAGTTACTAGAGAAATATTTTTCACATTGATAAAATTTTTAAATTGGCCAATATTACAAACCAGTGTAGAGTGAAACCTAACTAGCTAGCTGAAGTTTCAAGGTGTTTTTCTGTCCATACACAGACCCTATCTAAACCTTCCACATACATAAGAATCTGTTCTTTTTGAACATCTACTAAAAGACTTGAATCTCAAAATTTACCACTGTGCCTATCAAGTAGGAGGTAAAAATAGAACTTAAAATAAGAAGGTGATTGGGGGTGGGAAAGAGTGGAATGAAACAAAATAACTCAAGGAAGGTAAGGTAGCAAAACTGAAACTTCTATGGGTGAAGCATATGCTTAAAAAGGCAGCCCAAATTGATACAGGCAAGAAGCAGCTTATGAAGATTAAGTAAAAACTTTACATAAACTACCCACCCCATAACAATGCCAAAGAACATAGCAGTCAACAAAATCTGAAAAGAAAATTTTAAGTAAATGGGTTATATTGCTACTTAGGCAGTACGACCTATGATGAGCAGGTTATTAGATACATTTTTAAATGGAAATCAGCAGGTTAGATGTCCTTAAAAATAAAAGAGTTAAAGTCATATCAAATTAAATACTTACAATGTATTAAGAATGATTTTTTGTTTCCAAAAGATTTTTATATTGTAAGGTCTCAGACTATTTAGTTTATTGAACCATTTACAAAGCACTATCATATTTTTAAGGCAAAAACATGGCAGAAGTACAAATATTCATCAATAGGATACTGAGTGAATAAACTATACCACAGCCACATAATGGAATATATGTGATAAATGCCATATGAGAATATGAATATGGCTTAATGCAACATTATTCCTGTGCAAATGCTAAAGTTAATGAAGCCAAAATCAGAAAGGGAATATGTATGTACATCTAGGTGTGTGTACACACTCAAAGAAGCTCAATTTTCAACTTCTACAAACAATACGCTATGATCTGCAACAGGTTACCACACTCTGCCCAACCACCAGCTCTAGGGGTCACATGCAGAGTTATTTCTGCCTCAGCCACATAGCTGTTTGGTAGGCCAGAGTACACCGGTTTTATTTTACTTTGAGATGATTAACATTATGTTACAAGTATACTTATAAGGATTTTAATTACAGAAACATATACTTTTTAAAGCCCCACAAATATCCACAAATCTTTGACAACTTAAAAAAAAATCAAAATACACTTATCTGGTTAGAAACCCTATATAAAGATACAAAACAAAGTGGAAATTTCTCTCTACCACCAATGTAATATTAATAATTTCCTGGGATTCCAGAAAATCATATATTTGCAACAGCATACATGTACCCATGAACACACATTATATATTACATATAACATGAATATGTATCAATTCCATTCACATATGTAACTTAAAAAGCAGTGACTGCTAAAATGTAGAGATGTAGAAGTATACAGAAGTGAAAAAATTAATTGAAAGCAGAAAAATAAAATGTCTACAAATGATTCTATAAAGGAAATCAAGAGTCAAAGAGGAAATCGTGGATGTAAAAATTTACCGGCCTCTACTATAAAATATAATCAAGAAATAAAGAATAATTATGAAATTCTGAAGATACTGAAAAATTATGAAAGTCTGAAGAGCAGTGTCTCTCAAACTTTATGTTTATGAATTGCCTGGAGCTCTTCTTAAAATAAGATTCCAATTCAGTAGGTCTGGAGGGGGTCCAGCAATTCTACATTTCTGACAAACACCTACATGATGCTAATGCTGCTCATCCTTGAACTACACCTTGAATAACAAGGATTTTCACTAGTATAGCACTATCCAACAGAAAAATGTGATCCACATATATACTGATAATTTAAGTTTTTTCTAGTAGCAAAAACAGTCAAAGAAAACAAAAGATGTAAAGCAAAAACAAAAGATGGAATTACTTTTAACACATTTAACCCATATATTCTTAATCCAATTAAGAATCTCACAAGGCAGAAGATATAGTAAGTCCACAACAAATACCAGCTATTATCCATCTTCTAGTAAAGTGTTGGACACAGTAAGTGAGTATTTCTTCACTGAATAATGGGAATATAAGAAAAGTACAAGATAAGTACTAACAAAGTACACTGGTGTTAAAAAAAGTAGAAATTTCTGGTGGGATCGAGGATATTATCAAAAGAAATACACATTTGATTTGGATCTTATAAAACAAATAGATTAATAAGGGACAGAAATAAAAGAATCTAGGTTGAGGTCAAACGCCAGTATATCTTTAAGGCTGGCTCAGTAAGACCTTGTACTTTGCTAGTAGAAAACTTACTACAAGAAACAAATGTATGTGAAAATCCACATATTTTTGAAATTCAAGCAGATTACCTCCTATATGGAAGTAATGTTACATCATAATATATAAAGTATAATATATAAGTATATAATAAATGATTACAATTGTCAAGAAAATCCTAATTTATGCAGATATCCACCATCAGATTTTGCTGCTCTTAGACTATGAGATCAATTTAGTAACTGGACTGTGGCAAACTTATTGGTACCTGGCAGAAATAACAGTCCTCTTAAAACTATGCCTGAGTCAACATATTTTTTTAAATTTTGGCAGCAGTCATTGTTATTTGCATGTCCTATTTTTTCCAACAATTTGTAACTCCATTCTACCTCACTAAAGTGGTATCCTCTTTGTCCGTGCCTGTTCTATGCTAAACTGATGGACTATTTCATTAACCAAATACACTTTAACACAGTTTTAACCTCACTGAAATTGATATGGCATTGTATCTTAGATTTCTAGTCAGTCATGGCTTAATTGTGTAAAACTCCTTTGACAGCTTCTGATTAACATTAGAAAGTACCAAAATGAATGCACCCTGAGTTTAAATTCGGCAGCTACGCTTGCAGGGATGGAAAGTAACCTTTATTTCCAGGAATGTGCTTTTTTCCTATTCTCTTCTTTACATTTTGATACTCATAAAACAGAGCTTGAGTTTTCTGTCATCTGTTACCCAGTACTTTACTTAAATATTTGTTGAGCTGATACTATATACCAGGCTAATATTCTTGGTGCTGGGGCTATAATGCCTCATAACATGTGAGGATGCTCTTTTAGATGTTGAATACTATCCCTTTTATATTAGTGGTCATCCCTATCTTTACCAAAGGTAGCTGCAACTGATAAAAATTTATAGATCTTCCATGCCCAATCACAGAGAACGGCGATTTTTCCTAATCCCATTTCACAGTCATACTTTACTGGGTGCATATGAGTATAATAAATAATTCACTTACATTATCCTTATGAAGATGATGTACCGCCAAAGGCATATTATATAACCAGGCTTTTTTTTTCTTTCAAGAACACAGAATGAGGTTCCTAAATACTGCATAAGATCAGATTAAAAGGTCAGAGTAAGATCAGGCAGTAAATTCTGGGTCCAAAAAAATTGGGGTGTGGGGGGGTAAATTCATTAGGCTATTCAAGAAGCACCACAAAATCTACATGCTTCCCCCCTGCCACCTATGTTCTTATAGGACAGCGATTTTTAACCCATGTGCTGGCACAATGGTGTGCAGCAAGAATTTTTAAAACATGCGATACCTGACTATTCAGTCAAGGGCACTGACCTCTTTTCCCTTAAATTCTCAAATTAAAACAAAGAAAAAGAAAAGAAAAGACAGACAACACAATAGCCACCTGGTGTAAATGAATTATACATACTTTCTTTTTTTGGTCAGGTGAGCAAAAATATGTTTTTATTTGCCACACAATTTTGATAGTTTATATGTGCCATGAGATGAAAAAGGTTGAAAATCGCTGTTGTAGGAAATTAACTTCCCTGCCTAATAAAATGCTCTTCCTAAAACTTGTGGTGATTAAATAAAGTTTACTTAAGGTCGCCAGTCATCAGACTAATGAAGCATCCTTCACTCCCTCCTTGCTGCTTCCCTTGGGACGGCCCAGCCACAATCCCTGGGAAGAATCCAGGAGAGCTGAATTCCTAGGAGGCCTCCCAGGATCAGGGAGCAGGGGGAGCGCACCTGACTCGGTCACAACGCTGTGGCTGCACCTGGTGGGAGATGAGGCAACCAGCAAAATCCTCTCTCTGGATACTGAATTAGAGTCCCCATCAAGCGATGGCAAACTTCTGCAATCCTGTTTCAGTACCCCGGGCCTTGCCCACCCTCCCAGGTCAGGCTGCAGCCCCGACTGGTACTTCTCCCTAGCGTCGTAGTCCTGCTACGCCGCAGAGCCAGAGCTACAGCCCGCAGCTGTGTTGCGGGTAAAGGGACAGCCACCTGCCGCTGACCCCGTCCGAACCTTCCCCGCTTCGAGGACACCCACCGTCGAAGGAGCCTCCGCGTCCTTTGGGACAGAAACGCACACCTGCAACCCTGCGGCACCACCGCCCGGTAGCCTCTAAGGGGATAGGAAAAAAAGATGCTTCATTGATTCCCCGCCCCCCTACTCGCCCGCCCCCTTACCACCGCCTATTGGGTGGCGCGGCTGCAGCTCTTTTGATACGGCTCGTCCATTGGCTCATTTGGTACAGCCTTTCTGGCTGACGGCCCGCCTCAGGCCTGGCCTCACAATAGGAGTCGAATCCCAAAGCGGTTCCGGGTTAGTGCCCTGGAATTCCTGCCCCTTGTGATTCACGGCCTCCATTGTATGCTCAGTCTTTGGTGCCCAGCCGTGTCAGTCAAGTGTGCTCTAGCAAAGCATTGGATCTTTACGATCAGCCCGCTCTGTTGCTCTGCCTGATTGGGACACTGGCTGCTCCATCTCCAAACTCTGCTTTTGTCCTTGACCCTCAACTTTTAAAAGGACAAAGAGGAAGTGGGACTCTGGGGTTGCTTACACTGGTTCCTAGCACTGCCTCTGCTCAGTCAACTGCGACCTAGTTTGTCCTCAACCATTTCTTGAGGCTTCCCTTCCCAAGGTTACTGATGATTTTCTTACAGATAAATCTAAGCATCGCTTCTCAGTCCTCATCCTACTTAACTCCTCAAAAAAACATTTTGACTTGTTGACTATTTCTTCATTGTTCTCCATAATATATACTTCTCCTGGTTTTCCTCCCTCTAGGTCTTCTTTTCTGTTCCCCTTTGCAGTTGCCTCCTTCGTTGCCATCGCTAGTTCTGTTACTAATAGGTTTGCCTCCCCATTGCAGAATTCTATTGAGATCCTGCATTATAGCCGTAGCCTTCTTACTGGTCTCAGTGTCCTGCCAGCTCCTTTGTAGCCCATCCTTCACACTGTAGCTAGAACAGAGTGCTTCAAGTTCTTTAATGGAATCACACTCATCTTACGATAAAGTACAAAGTGTTTACAAAAGTGACTTCTGCTTTTCCCTCAGGCTTTATCTTTCACTAACATTCTCTCTCTTCCCTCTTTATTTTTTCCTTACCCCAATTCCTTTGCTTCGATCAGTTCTTAGACTGACAGTTACTTTGGGACTTAGTTTGCACTGAGTTGTTTTCCCTGGAAAGATTTCTCGCAGCTTCTTCCCTGCTGTGCCTAGGATTCCTTTAAGAAGTCAGTTTCTGGCCCTGGCTGGCGTAGCTCAGTGGATTGAGCTCTGGCTGTGAACCAAAAGCATCGCAGGTTCTATTCCCAGTCAGGGCATGTGCTTGGGTTGTGGGCCAGGTCCCCAGTGGGGGCCACATGAGAGGCAACCATACATTGGTATTACAACCTGAACTGGATTCATATATTTAAAAAAAAAAAAAAAGAGTGATAGATCCTACTAATAAAGCCTGAAAAAAATGACAAAACTAGTCAGTTAAATTGGAGGGTTCTCTATTTCTGGTTACCAGTCTGATCTATCCTCCAACAAACTATTGAAAGAGAGAAATTTAGGCTCTGGCTGGCATAGCTCACTGGATTGAGCGCGGGCTTGCGAACCAAAATGTCGCAGGTTCATTCCTAGCCAGGGTACATTCCTGGGTTGCAGGCCATAACCCCCAGCAACCACACATTGATGTCTCTCTCTCCCCCCCCCCATCTCCCTCCCTTCCCTCTCCAAAAATAAATAAATAAAATCTTAAAAAAAAAAGAAAGAAATTTTATCTTCAGTGAAACAGAGAAAGATTCATGTTAGAATTTCTGAAAGAAATTCTAAAAGAACCTTCTGAAAGAAGGTTCCACACATGTACCAGTGCACAGTAACTGTTTTATTTGAGGGGGTTAAGTGTACCTTATTGTTTCACCTCAGTAGAAGTTCTTTTTTTCGGGAGAAGAATTTAAAATCCCAAGACTTCCCCTGATATGCAGAAATTGATTTAGAAGCAAATAGGTTTAACTATCAGGAGGTTTAAAATTGCACTTATTTAACAAATATTTATTGAGTCCCTGCTGTGTGCAGGCATTGTTTTAAGTCCTGGGGATAAAAGAGTGACTAAAACAGGCACAATTCCTTGCCTTTAAGGAATGTAGTATTTTACATGGAATATAAAAATAAAAAAGATAACTAAGAATACAAAAAAAAAGAAGTCAGTTTTTGAAAGAAGTCATTCTTTCTTTCCATTCACCCTATCTCCATTTCCAAGTTTTCCCTCTAATGTAGATTTATGAAGTAAAAGATAGGATGCTCGGTTAGCTTTAATGTTCAGATAAATAATTTTTAGTATAAGCATGCCCCATGCTTATTAGCATGTGTATATTTATTTGTTAAATCTGGCAGTGCTACTGCAGCATGCTTCCACCACAGTCAGTACCTTTCTTCTTACAGCTTTGTCACATGTTCCATGTGGGTGGGTCTTTCTTGTTCACTGTTGTAATTTCTTTGCCTAGCACAACACCTGGATATGATAGACACTCAAAAGAGATATGGTAAATAAATAATGGAATATTCTGGATGACTGGTGAATCCTTGGTGGCTATTCCTGGAGGAACTCTCTTTAAAAAATAAGAAGTATTTATGAAATATTCTTTTTGAAATGTAGTGATTAGTCTTTCAGATTTTTACATGACTTTATGAGTGAAGCATGTCTATACTTTTGCCCAAGTAGAACAAAAAAGAACACTTTCATTAGAAAAACATGAGAACCTATGTTTTATAATTTTGTTTTTTGTGTGTGGTGGATGGTTTTTGGGTGAGTGCCATCAGATAGTAAGAGAACTATCTATCCCCATTATGACCAGACACTTTTCTGTCCCCTTGCACAGTGTGTTCACCACTTGAATCTATTTATTTGCTTCAGTAATAAGGATAAGGCCTAGAATGAGTAAGTTCAGAACCTTCTGCTTTTGTATCATGAACACCCGACAAGACAGATTGAAGGTAATCCAAAATGCCTAATATTAGTACCCCATTACCAACCTGATAATCTGTTTATTGATGTGGTTTTTGTTAATATTAATTGTAGGCTAGAGATTTGACACACACTTATTCTAGAACTGACCTGTCTAAATGCAGCTGCCACGAGTCCGATGAGCCAGCACAACCAAGTAACTGAATTTTAATTGTATTTTATTTTAATTAAAAAACATATTCAATTCAGTGACTAGATAACTTCTAAGTATGTTTAGAAAACTTGAATTATGTGAATCTACTTTTTCAACTAAGTTTTTTTGAAATCCAAGTACAAATCGAATATTTCTGATAAAAAATTACCATCTAAATTGAGATGTGTTGTAAGTGTAAAAATACACAGGATTTTAGAGATTTATAAAAATGCAAAACATATCATTGATAATTTTTATATTGATACTAAATTTAAATAATAATGTTCTGTGTAATTAGGTTAAGGAAAATATGTTATTAAAATTAATTTTTTCCTGTAATTTTTTTTTACTTTTTAAAGTGAAGCTAACAGGAAATTTAAACTTATACATGTGGTTTGTATTATATTTCTGTTAGATGGTTCTGTTCTAGACTGTGCCTGGCTGCCGCTTATTAAAAGTCTTAGAATGAGAACATAATAGTTAACTAAAATATTTCTATATCATAGCTTATTTAACCAAAGGGAAAGTAAATCACTTTCCCATCTTTTCTTCAAACTCATTTTAGTTAAGAATAAAACAAGCCAATGAACACATTATAACTGACATACGTCCAATTACATTTAACTGTATCATGCTGTTTTCAATCTCCATTTTTGCCTTTTCACCTGCTTTTTTCTCCTTCCTTTGACATGCCCTGCTTCTCCCAGTCTTGTCCTTATGACACACTCTTATTCTCCTTCAAAACCTGCTCTTTCCTGACGACCTTAGAACAGATTTTCCTTTTTCAAATGAATTTTATGCTTATTCATATTCTATTTAGATAGCATTCTGTGTTGCCATTACCTTTTACATTTTTATCTCTAGCACCCAGCACATTACCTGTCACTTAGGCTGGCAAAAACATATTTGATGAATTGAACTGAATGCTGACAAGATAAAACTCACTCTGTCCTCTGTGGTGTTCCGTCAAATTATTTGCAATTTTTACCATCAGGTAAATTATAATGGTTTGAAAATGACATTGAAAACTTCTAACCAGCAAATTTCATGTTTCTAAAAAATTTACATTGAGGGGAAAGAGAGTATGGCTCCTATATATATTGTTACAATTATTTTTCTTTAGATTTTATTTTTCTTGTAAATGGGAAAAATAGGTGATGTCAGAACACGAGTTATTTAAAAATGGTAGCATTATAGTAAGAGGTAGCATTGGTAGACTCTAGTTTCAAAGGTCAGCCTGGTATCAAATTTTGAGAAGTCAAATTGTTTTTGCATTTCAACCAGCAACAACTATGGTTAGTTTGCCATTTTTGTTTATGGTGGGAGATCTGATTTCTATTGGAATAGTATATGAAATAGTATGGGACAGTGGTTATTAGGAGAATCACTAACAATACTTCTTCAAAATCATCCTGTTCTTTTCAATACCTATAAATAAAGTTGCCCATGGAAGAAATAGAGCAATTGTAAATCTATTTTTGTACTTTGGAACATGTGCCCTGGCAACTTCCTATTTGAATCTCATTTTTAAAAATCACTTTCAGTAAACATACGTTTTTGGTTTGTCTCTCTTTGGTAGTCAAAGAGGCTTCTTGTTGAGTAACAATTTTAACAATTTTGTAGGATGACCACCTGTTTCTTTGAGTCCCCTACAGAATGAATTTTATTTATGCAAAATAACCTGTATTTTAGACCACTCCATCCTATATATATCTTGCATATTTAGTGAAAATTGATCTAGCTTTTTTTGCATGTGTCAACAGGAAAACATATGCATGCATTTCATGTTAGTAATAAAAATCATACTGTTTTCTTATTTTGAGAAATCACTGTGACTTTTTGTCACCTCTTGGTTATGTTTATGTATGTACATTCCTGAATTCCCTTCATAATAATTGTACAGATTTTTGAGTTAGGAGCTTTTCATTTATTGACCAGATCTCTTTCTTCAACTCACTTTAAAAAATAAATATTGAATAC